AAAACAAATTTGAAATGTATTTTGAGATGAATTCTTGATAATCATGTGATTATGCCATTACTCATGTTGTTAAACGTAGGTCATTTGACTGGAAAACATGAAAGGCACTTCTCCATATCTGGCTGTCCACTGTATCATAATCTGTCTGCAGATGAATGTAAGGTATTGTGGATTTTACGTTATATTTTGAATATTCAGACATTGATTCTACTTGAGCATTCTCCTGGCCTCCATTTCTTGATAAATGGGAAGGGGCAGATTTTGGGGTTTTCATTACTATAACCACCTTGTTTTATATAATTCATGTTAAAAAAACATTTTTTTTGATGCTCTGCTGTTCATTTTGACATTTCCTTATAATTATAATTGACCTGATTTGGTGATGAACACAGTTAAAAATGATGGATTTTAACACATTTCAGTATAGTCCAAGTCACGATGTAGAGCAAAGAGATTGAGAGAGAGTTGCATTTCCTCCAAAATTGGTTAATTACTATGCATATGCTGAAGCCGGGACCCAGTTAGCTAAGTTGGTAAGATAGCTTGAGTTGGACCAGAAAAATGTGAACAGCACAAGCTGATTTCTGTTTCAGCTGAGGTACCTGGCATCTGTCTTCTAGCTCTGTCGCTGACAGCGGAAGGCAATGGAAAAGTACCATTGGCAAAAAAGGTATTGAGAGAATGGCTTAGAGTGAAGTATGCAGGCAATGACCTGCTTTCAGGCAGAGCATATGGGAAAACAATAATGATCTTGTACTGAAATACTTAAGATTACATCTCAAGCAATGGTCCACATTTCAATCATACATTTATTCACTTGCTTTACAATAGTGTTTGAAATCTTAAAGAGTCGGTAGTTATTTTGATGCCCATCCGCTGTGCACTTAATATGTGAAACTTCATTTTTGCAGTTGTGCGAAACAATCGGTGTTATAATCTGTAATCAGTGCTTTTCAAAAATAGTGAATCCTTGGCAGTCGTTATGCTAGAATAATCCTTTGTTGTGTTTGCTTGACGAACATAAACTATTCAGCTATTTTTATCACACTGCTTTTGAATCAATAGTAGAAACTGAATGGAAACCCCACCAACACTTTTTGAATCCCATCTATCCAGAGCTGGATGAATCACTACCAACACTGTCCAATGTCTGAATTCTTAAGTTTGAGACTTTTGCTATAGGAGTGCAGTTGGAGAAACATAATAAGAGATTGTGTTTTTCAATGGTTTGGGCATGGTGCAGGGAAGCTGATTAATTCAATGTAATCTGAGGAATTTTGCTTTAGTTGCTGGGGAACTCTTTCTGCTATTTGAAACCTTGCATCTCACTCCAGTGCAGTAGTAATTGGTGAAAGGAATGAAGATGTTTGTTACAGATTAATGTGTAGATCTGCATTCACAGAAAAGCTGCATAGCCCTCCCTGTGTTGTATATGTTTGTATCCAGCAGAGTCTGAATAGGCTGTATTTAAAAAATACATACTTTTTGTTGAGCTTCGGTAAATAATGGAAAGGTGGGACCCACAATTTTGTCAATGTTTGTTGATGTTAATTGTGATCCAGGCTGTTTGATAAATTTAGGCAGCAGTTTCTCGGCCTTCTGCCCAGCTTGTCAGTGCAATAATTATCTGGTTGCTTCTGGGATTTGTAGAGTTTAACTTCTAATTTTCTGCTGTTGATGGTTACAGGTTAGAGCTCAGCAACGTGAAAGGCAGATTGATGACAGGGCATTATCGCAGAGACAAGATGAAAACAACAGGCATGCAACCAGGCATCAGGCAAGTTCTTATTATCGCTGTAGTCAGAAATATTTAAGAAAGATCTGCCTTTCACTTCTTCAGGACTTTGCGTTTTGCAGACAATTAATTATTTTTGTAGGCCACTGTTTTTAAGTAGTCAGTTGGCGCACAGCATGATTCCACAACAGTGGTGCGATAAATAACCAATTAAATTTGACATTACTGAACAAACAATTTGGAGTCCTCAAATAGTAATGATTTCACATTCCAAATTGAAACTTTAATTCAGCAAGAAAATAAAAGAAATTATTATTAAAATTGACTTGACAGCCGTTAGGTGACCTTAAAAACCCAAATGGTTCATTAATGTTCTTAAAGGAACAAAACCTGCCATTTGTAGTTGATTACCCAATGTGTGACTCCAGGATTAGTTGAGAGGGGAGAGACAGGAAAACATGATTGAGAGGGAGGGAAAAGATAGGAGACAAAGAATGAAGGAGAGGTGGACAGATAGGACAAGAATGAGTGTATAGGGATAGTAGGTTGGTAGCGGAGAAGATGGGAGAGGGTCAGAGGTCCAAAGTATTGGTCAGATGGTGGAGTTGTTGAATAGATGAATTGGATGATTGGGCTGGAAAAGGAGGTCTACAGGAGTTGGGTCGGGGAGAGAGAGAGAGAGAGAGAGAGAGAGAGAGAGAGAGAGAGAGAAGGAATGGGTAAAAAGAGGGTGCAGGGAAATTGCCAGTGATGGAAAATATTGCAAATAGGGAGTAAGTGTTGAGTTATATGGAGTTTAACTATGAAGTTAAGTATTTGAAAAGCAGCAGATGCTGATGAATGGGAAATGAAGTTAACACAGGCAAATCGATTGAAATTTGTTCCAGCCAGCAGTTGAGTTTGGGGTAGTGACGGAAGGGAAGTTTAGTGTGAAGGATTCTGCTAAGGCAATGTCTGTCTTGTAGGGTTATTTCCAATAAGGATTGTACATGAATTGTAGCCAATGGACCTGTAAATGGCCATCTGAAAAAAGGGGAAATTAAACTGGTTTAAGATTGGTCTCGGAATTAGATGTGCCCAGTTTGAGAGGGGGATTGGGTGGGATTTGGAGAAGGGATGATATGCAGCCATAGATGAGAATTGGTGATGGGATTTATAGCCAGTAGTTGGGAAAGGTTTGATTAGGAAATTAATCATACTGTTCGAAGTAGGAGTTGGAATGAAAATTACATCTTGAAGATGATGTGTCCTGTTGTTAAAAGACACAGCAACTGATAGTGGAATGCAAGGATATCCAAAGAAAGATAGGATAGTAATAATAATACTGTGGCTATATGTCGATTCTTTTCTTGACAATTTCTGAGGGTAATTAAAGTCGTTGGTTTTAAAAAAGAAACCAGGAAGATGGATATTTTCATTTCTGTATGTGAGAGATCCAGATCATGTAAAAATTAAAATTTGAGTGCACCATTATGTTTCAGGATAGCTTAGGGTTTACTATAATGGTTCTTTGGTTCGGAAGTGTGGTTTAATCATAGATACTGAGCTGAACTCAGTTTGCATCTTATTTATAGCAGCACGCCATCAGGATGCTAGCTTTCTTTTCAGTGAATTGAAGATCAGAATAGTAAAGCAAATTAATTTTTGATTGGTCATTAATTTGAAAAGCTTGCAGGAGCACAGAAATTGTCACGGTGGGGCTCATTTTTGATAACTAGAATGAAAGGCAATTTTCAGATTGATTGAATGAGAAGTATATGGTATTTAAGGAATCGTAGAAGCATGACAGTTCAGAAGGAGGCAATTTGGCCCATTGTGTCTGCACCAGCTCTCTGGCTGTTTGCTGAGTGCCATTATCCTACCTTCTTGCTGTACTCCTGCACGTTGTTTCTTTTCAAAATTTCCTTCTGAATGGTTCCATGAAACCTGTCTCCTCCATATACTGAGTAATTGCAAGAGAAACCTTAGATGTTTCCTTTCCTATTGCTTTTGCTAATTATTTTAAATCTGTGCCCTCTGTTTCCTGATTCTTTCATGAATGGGAACAGTTTCTCCCTACCTAATCTGTTTAGACCCTTCACGATTTGAAAAGCTTGATCAGATTTGCCTTTGCCCATCTCTTCAAAGAAAATAATCCTACCTTCTCCAATCTATCTTCCAAACTGTGAATCTTGTCTGCATATTGCACATCCTTCCAAGGTCATCTATTCCAGTACTGCCATACACAAGTTCAGCATAATCTCCTTCCTCTTGTGCTGTATGTTCTTATTAATAAAGCTTCCATTAGTGTATGCTTAATTAATCATGTTTACAACCAGGTAAGGAAGAGATATTGAATCCCTTCTAACCCCCTTTCAGGGTTACAGCAATTTTTTTTTCTTTTCTACGTGCAACTACATCACACGTGAAGTTAAGATGTATTAACTATATTTAAATAAAGGAGCCAATTGCAAGACTTTTTTGCAGGAAGGAAAAAGTATTTTGTTACCTACTAACCCAAAGGGGGAAAATAATTATACAATGCAACATCAAACGGACATGCAAACACATTATAATTCCTTTAAGAAAGGAGTGATAAGGACAGGGAAAAGTAAGATAATTCAAAAATTTTAGTCTTTCTGGTGTTAGATTCTAAACCTGAGGCCGCAGTTGGTTAATTTTTGATTTGTATTGCAACTGCAGCAAAATTTGTATATACCCTTGACTTTTTTAGTGAATGGTTATTCTCCTCAGTGGCTTTATCAGGTACCGTGTTCTGAGATGGAGAGAAATAGGGTGAGAGAAAGAGAAAACAAGCCTTCCAGGTTATGAATCCACATGCTTCTTTCTGCTTTGCTGCTCAAAAGCAGCTGTTGAACTATAGTTTCATGTGTCTGTATTCAGACTCTGGCTCCATTGTCTTTCCAAGCTGGCTCATTGGAAAGCAAGTTTTTCAGCTCCCAACATGTGAATTATCATACAAGTATGATTTAAAACACGCCGCAGGTGAATTTCTTAATGCTGACTCATTTGCTTGGTTTTGATGTCTTTTGAGAAAAAGGAAATTTCAGTGCAGATTGATTTTGTTTATTCTATAAGCTTGTCTCATCTGTCATCATTTGAAAATTGTTATGATTTTAAGTCCATATTTCTTCCTTTCTAAAAACCATTTCAGTCCATTTAAGATTTTTGGTATAACAATCAGATGGTGAAGGTTAAAATTGGATGATCCATCTTTACCACCATTATGACACCACTTTCTCAACTTGTTCCATCACCTTCAAAGAATATACCCGCATATGTATAGGTCCATGTCCTGTTGCTCTCTTTTGAGTTGTACTTTTATCCTGCATCTCTCTGTTCTTCCTTCAAAAATGAATTGCCTTCCATATCTCCATATTGAACTTTACCTGACCACCTATTCCAATGACATGTATATTTCCTTTTTGAAATTCTACACTTCCTTCCTCATGGTGTATCATCCAGAAATTTGAGACCTGTGCTACATTAGTTTATATGTCATGAAAAGCAAAGGTCCCAGCAGTGACCCCTGCAGAATTCCACTACAAACCTTTCCCAACCCTCAAAATATCTATTAGCTATTACTGCCTGCTTTCTAGTTTGCGAATTTTGTACCCATATTGCTATTGTCACGTTATTCCATGAGCTATAACTTTGCTCACAATCCATATGCCACAGTTTCACATTTTGTTTGGAAGTTACATTCACCACGTCAGTGTTACCTTCATCAGTCTTCTCTGTTACCTCTTCAAAAAACTTCAAATCAGTTGACCACTATCTTTCATTAAACACTTGTTAGCTTTCCTTAATTAGCCTGCATTTGTCCATGTGACAATTTTGTCCAGACTTTTGTTTTCTAGATATTTCACCATAATTAAACTGATTTGGCCTGTAGTTACTGAGCTTATCTTTACATCCTTTTTGCACAAGTCTTCTAGCATCACTCTGAGTCTAAGAATGACTGACTGAAAAATTATGGTCAGTGTTCCCACAATTTATACTTTCACTTCCCTATATAGAATCCTTAAAGTGTGGAAACATGTCATTTGGCCTATTGAGTCCACACTGACACTCCAAAGAGCACCCACCCAGAACCCCCTACCCCACCCAAATCCCTGTAACCCAGCTTTTCCCACGGCCAATCCACCTAGCCTGCACACGCCCGGATACTGTTCAGCATGACCAATCCACCTAACCTGCACATCTTCGGACTGAAGAGGAAACTAGAGCACCCAGAGGAAACCCACACAGACACTGGGAGAATGTGCAAACTCCACACAAACAGTCTAGTCAGTGGTCTAATGGTATTATCACTGGATTGTTAATCCAGAGGCCCAGATAAAGTTCTGGGGACGTGGGTTCAAATCCTGCGACGGCAGATGGTGGAATTTGAATTCAACAAAAAAAATCTGGAATTAAGAATCTAATGATGACCCTGAGCCCATTGTCGATTGTTGGAAAAACCCACTTGGTTCACTAATGCCCTTTAGAGAAGGAAACTGTCATCCTTACCAGGTCTGGCCGACATGTGACTCCAGACCCACAGCAATGTGGTTGATTTTCAACTGCCCTCTGGACAATTAGGGATGGGCAATAAATGCTGCCTAGCCAGCGATGCCCTCATCCCAATAATCAATAAAAAAAAGTCGCCTAAGCATGGAACCAAACCCTGGTCCCTGGCACTGTGAGGCAGCAGTGCTAACCACTGAGCCACTGTGCTGCCCTCAGTATGATTGGATGCATCTTATGGTGCCTGGTGCCTAGTGCCTTATCGACAAGTACAGGTAGCCTATCCAATTAGAATAATATTGTCAAAGTACAATTGTGAAATGCAAAATTGACTTCATAGCATCGCCAACAAGCAATAAATTTGACATATTGCAATCACTCAATGTTTTCAAATATAATTGATTTAATCAAATAGACCTAAAGCTCTAATTACTTGGCTCAGTGTTTTCAGCAAAGCTGAATTTTCAAGTAAAAATGCAAACGAACTGTGGATAGTGGAAATCAGAACCTAAGACAGAAATTGCTAGAAAATCCTGGCAGGTCTGGCAGCATCTGTGGAGAGAAATTAGACTTAACGTTTCGGGTTCAGTGACCCTCCTTCAGAACATTCTGAAGAAGGGTCATCAGACCTGAAAGTTAACTCTGATTTCTCTCCACAGATGCTGCCAGACCTTCTGAGATTTTCTAGCAATTTCTGTTTTTGGTTCTAGATTTCAAGTGCCAGGTTAACATATAGGAAATAAAATAACAGCAAATGCAGGAAGTACAAGGGATATGAACGATCATCATACGGTGTGTTAGCACCATCATTTGAATATTGTTTGTAGCCTACTGACTTGAGAGGAGATGGGGAAATAACTAAATATAACTAAAACAGGTAATATTTTAATAGCCATATGGAAATGCAAGGAAAATGTATAATATGGAGTTTAGAGGGAAAGTATAGATAAGAAGATTTGTTTTAGGTTAAAATACCAGTGGTTTGAATTCTGATTGGAAGAAAATATTCCTTTTGGATCATCAAACCATGACCTTGCATTTATATTAGATATTATAATTCTCAATGCAAGTAAGTAGAGGGTGCAACAATAGACTGAAATCTTGAACAGTTGCTGTGTTAGGGCTGTGATCTCCAACACATAGATAGCAATAGATTGGTCAATAGAAGAGTCTCTGACAGTTGACTTCCTACCTGCGTTCTCTTGCAGTGCACACGTCAAATGTCATGCCGTTGCATGGGCCATTACGTGACTTCTGCATCTGGAAGCTGCCTGGCTTGAGAAAAGTGCATGCTCTTAAGAATTTTTGCCAGCTTGTTGAGTCGTACTTTAGTTTGGTCCAGATGGACTATTGTTGTAGAGTAAACAAAGATTTGTGATGGCAGTGCAAATAAATAGACCAGAAGCTGATGTGTGAACCCAGTATATTTCAATACTCGAGATATGGGAGGCTGTTCAGCTCATTACAGAACCCCTACAGTGTGGAAGCAGGCTGTTTGGCCCATTAAGTCCTCACTGACACTCCAAAGAGCATCCCACTCGGACACACTGCTTACCGTATCCCTGTAACTCTGCATTTACCATGCCTAATCCACCTAACCTGTACGTCCATGGTTACTGGGCAATTTAACATGGCCAAACCACCTAACCTGCATATCTTTGGACAGTAGGAAGAAACTGGAGCACCCGGAGGAAATCCACGCAAACTCGAAGAGAATGTAGAAACTCCACTCAAGATGGTCACCTGAGGCTGTGAGATAGCAGTGCTAATTTTGAGCCACTGTGCCACCCCAATTACATTCATGTAGACTCCCTGCAAGAACAGCTCAGCTGGTCCTGCTCCCCGGACATTCTTTGTAGACTTGCAGTTTTTTTTCCCTTTGGCTGCCATTTGATAGGTCTGTGCAGGATGAAGAAATATGACAGGGAAGCTGTTGCACCCCACCTCCAATTTCCAAGCAATGCAAACCACTTGGGTTCTCTGGAAACAAATTGTGACCGCAGAAGTGATTTCCTGTGTCTCTACACTTGAACACAGCCAGCGTTCTAGAATCTCCTGAGGTGTGGATCCAGAGGCAGGGTGATGTCGTGAGCTACAACGTAAAGCAAAATGATGAATGGTGAACTTGAACAATGTGAAAAGAAACCAAAAATGCACAACTTCGATGCAGAATGGGAAAGTGAATTTCTCTTCACAAGTTTAAGAGATGTGTTTGCCTTGTACGTCATTAAAATTTACCAATAAGTGAAAGGGGGAAATGTGAAATGAGGCTGTACAATGATGCACGGTAGACCCAAGAATAATCTTGTGTTGAACAGCATGCACTGGGCAAAGAAAATTGATGACCTAAAGGCTGTTTGAAAGCTCAACAGTCAATTTTTTTCAAACGAAGCCCCAAATGGTAAGGCCTGTATTGAAGCTTCATTCATAATCTTCTGGTAATCAAAAGGCATCATTCACAGATAGCGAAGTAATTAAAAATGCAGTGACTGTGGTCATAACTCCTTATTCAAAAACTTTAAAAGCAAAGAAGAAATTACAATGGCAATCCAGAGCATTTCACTTGATGCTGCTGCAGTAGTGAGATGCATCAAGTCCTTTGTCCAAAGACATCTTTGAGCGACTACAGCAGCATCTGACGGATTCTAAATATTTCTCGCTGTAGTTTGATTAATATGTTGTGACTGACACAGCCCACTTGAGCATGGTCTGTAAGGATATAAGAACTCTCACCCTTTTGACCCTTAAAGAGGGGTAAAGTTACACGCTTGAGAAAAACATTCCAATCAGGTTTCCATCACAATTGATGGTGCACCAGGCTTGTTTGCCATAATTGAGGACTTCATTGAATTTTGCAGAAATGATCCTGAATTCCCTCTTTTGTTAGTTACTATGATTTAATCCACCAGGAAGTAGTAATAAGTTTTTGGCTTTTTCCATGTAATGGAAGTTGTTATTAAAATTATAAACTTGATTTGAGCAAGAGCCCTTCAGCACAAGTTGTTTAAATCCTTTCTCAACAAACTTTTCTGAAGAAGGGTCCAGACCCGAAACATCAGCTTTCCTGCTCCTCTGATGCTACCTGGCCTGCTGTGTTCATCCAGCTCTACACCTTGTTATCTCAGACTCTCTCAACAAACTGTGTTGCTTACAGTGAACTAATCTCAATGCTGTTGTGAGGAGGTTAAGTCAAGGGAAGTCATGCCAAGATATTTAGACTTAGTACCTGAAATCATCACCTTTCTTAAATCAAGGAATGAAGTATGCCGCAAACAATGCATGGTTGCTAGACTTGTATCAGAATTGTTAGTTGTTCCCACTGACAGAATAGGAAATCTAATAGAAGGTTGACCGTGCCAAGACCAGTTCCGGACAGGTACTGCCTGATTGGCCGAGCTCGTTCAAGCTTGCCATGTAACTCTGTCAACCATTCGGAATGGAGTTACATCACCACCGGAAAGTCGTCATTTGGCATGGATCTGCCTATAAATGCTGCAAGCATGCCTGAATAAATGAGAAAGTTACACGTGTTGCCAGTTGGAGACAGATTTTTTTTTACCAGATGAAAAGTTTAATGGTGGAAAGTGAAGGAAAGAATACCACAGCTATGGTCATGCCACCATGAATAGCACTGAAAAATCATTTCTTCTTTTGAAAGGAAAATGAGAAGCCACTTTATACGTTGTGAATGTCGAGACACTGTGCGCACAGTGTGAGGCTAATAAAGCCACCTGGAAATCCTCTCTCACTTTTTTTCAGGTCTGGATCAAGAAAGTGAACATACCATATCTGTGCAAGGTTAAAATAATTGCTGATAGCTGCCCAATGATTCCCAGCATCCAGTATCAAGCTGGTGCTTTCACCTCCCAATACCTTAGCCAAACTCCAGCCAATAGATCAAGGGATGATTAGAAACTTAAACACTACCTACTGTCAGCTGCTGATTTCTCACATTATCAAGGCGATCAATAAGAAACAGGTATACAACCCAGCTGTTGTAAGATGCCACGTTCATGATGGAGATGGTGGACGCTGGTGATGGAAGCCATTATGGGCAACTGGCTCTGCCATGCTGGGTTCAAACAGGCTGCAAGTGCACATGATGGCAGGAACAAAGAGTAGGATGAGGCCAACCAACCTGCAGATGAGGCCCCTTTCACTTGCTTGAGGGAGACTGACATGGAAGTTCCAGTCAAGACAACAGTGGAAACTTACACTGAGGTGGATGACACCATATGCTGCACAACAACTGACCAATGAGGCAGGTGTCGATGTGGTATGTTTTTCAACTGTAAAGATTGATAACCCTGAAGAGTCTGATGAATGCCCACCTGCTCGCTCACCTGTTACCTAACTAAAGCTGCAAAGGCCATAGGAATGCTTCAGGATTTTGCAGTGCAGCACGAAAATTCAACAAACCTGTTGACTGTGTTGATGACATAGTGAACATTACCACCTTTGTCCAAAGGCTGCAAGTTAAGGAGGAAATGATTGCGTTTTTCCGGTGCTAATTTTCAATATCGTTCAGTGCCTTTTTCTGTACAAGGTTAGGTCATTGTGGGTGTGAACAAACTGAAAAACAAAGACACTTATCAGTGATTTACTGTTTCATTGTGTTCTGTTTTGTATTTTTTCCTAAAATATGGAACATGTTTCTAGGCGAAACTGGGCAATCTTGCAGTTCTGTATATCACAAATTTGTGGGTGTGCCCCTTGCGATTTGACTTAATACAATTTTGCTGTATATTAGAAAATATACAGCATTAGTCTGATTCCAAATTCTATTTAAAAGATAATGTGCACAGCATTCTTCCAAATAAGCTAGCTACCATTGTTACAGTATAAAGATGAGTTAACGGCAATATTAACACACTCAAATCTAATGACCTCTAACTTAGACATTTGCTTTTTATACTGATCAAAAAAATCATAGAATTAAAAAAGTAATTTTGGCAATTTGGATTTTTATTTGTATTTTCAGTCATTTTAGACCAATCTGAATAAGTATTGCACTCAAACCTCTCTCATCTTTAGGCTCCAACAGAGAAACAGTTAAGATACAAAGAAAAGGTGACAGAACTTCGAAAGAAAAGGAATTCGGGCCTGACCAAAGAGCAAAAAGAAAAATATATGGTAAAATTTCTGTGAAAACGTTCTGGTAAATTTTATTCCTTCGGAGCTGTATGTGTTTCTGGCTATTGTAAAACTCATCTTTTTCAAAAATGAAGTACTATGTAATGTTAATCACCTGGCCAGAGAGATCATCTAGCTTAGTCTTAATGGCCTAAGTCAAAGAGGAATTTTCTGTTTTCCACCCACCCCACTAATTGGCTGTTTAAGAAATAAATATGGTTTCAGAAGTTGTTTAAACCTATCAGTGAGGTTTTCGCTAGACACTGGAAAATTGCAATGCAATCAAGGCACAGTCAGCATGATTTTGTGAAGGGGAAATCATGTTTGACTAAGTTATTAGAGTTCTTTGAAGAAGCAACAAGTAATGTGGATTAAGGGGAACCTGTTGACATGGAATACTTGGATTTCTAACCCCTCAAATGCTAGACAGTGAGACAAGAGACGATCCAACAGTCACCCCTTGATACTCAATGGTATTACCATCACCAAATCTCCCCTATCAACATCTTGGGGGTTACCATTGACCAGAAACTTAACTGGACTTGCCGCATAAACACAGTGGCTACAAGAGCATGTTGAAAGGTAAAATGCTGTGGTGAGTAACTCCCCTCCTGACTCATCAAAGCCTGTCCACCATCTACAAGGCACTTGTCAGGAGAGTGATGAAATAAGTTTTACTTATCTGGATGGGTGCAGTTTCAAGAACACTCAAGCTTGACATTGCTCACGACAGAGCAACTGATTGATTGGCACTTCATCCGCAAACATCCACTCCCTCCACTACCATTGTTCAGTAACAGAAGTCTGTACTATCTACAAGATGCACTGAAGAAATTTCCCAAAGTTTCTTAGACAGAACCTTCCAAACCCATGATCACTTCCATCTCGAAGTAGAAGAGTAGCAGATACATGGGAGTGCCACCACTTGCATGTTCTCCCCCAAGTCATTCACCATCTTGACTTGGAAATATATCGCTATTTCTTCACTATTGCTGTGTTGATATCCAGGAACTCCCTCTCTAATGGTATTGTAGGTCTACCTACAGCACTTGGACTGCAGTGTTTCAAGAAGATAGCTCACCACCCCTTCTCAAGGGCAGCTAGGGATGTGCATGTACCATGAATGAATATAAAAAAGAATAAAAAGCTCATCTTGGGTCTCAACTCCTGTGTTTCAAAAATCCATCTTCTGTTGAAATACTTTGTGATCTAGCTACCACGTCCCTCAGCTAGATAATATCAGATGTTCACTACCCTGTCAGTTTTCAAAAAGTGTACCTTTCACTTGTAACTATGTCCATAGCTCATGATTGCCCCACAAGTGGAAGCATCTTCTCAATATCTACCCTGTAAAAACCCCTCAGAATTTTCTGTGTTTCAAGAAGATTCTTCTAAAGTTGATCAGCCAAACCTTTCATCCCAAGAATCAGCCTGTATCAACCGCCTGTAATGCCATTGTATCCTTTCTTAAATATGGAGACCAAAACTCCAGATGCAGGCTCAGCAACACCTTGTACAGTTGTAACAAGACATTGGCGTTCTCAAACTCCAGTTCCGGAGCAAAAAAGGGACAAAATTCCATTGCCTCCTTTATTTTCTTGAAAAAAAGACCCACCCAAACTTCAATGTAACTAATGACTTCAGTTCCACGAGGGTTCTTTGATATTTGGTCAAATGCTACCTTGATTTCTTCCCACGCCTCTGGAGTTCAGCTCTTTCGTCCATGTTTGGACTAAGGTTGTAATGAAGTCAAGAGCCAGGTAGCCCTGACATAATAATGGATTTATTCGCATTAGTAGATCCATAATAAAATTAAGTGATTGGAAACTAGTGAACTCAAAATTGAACCCAAGCAAAATAACCAAAAGATGCAATGATGATGAATAGATTGCATTTGTTCTGTTTGTGTAAGAACAGTCAGTAAATAGGTTGATAAATTCATTACTGCAGTTTTCCATACATGCTGATATTTGTGAGATGGCCAGTCTCCTAATTTTTTTTTTGAAGTAATATGTCTCTTGAAACTTATGAGAGCATTTTAGAAGGAGATAACAGTGTGATTGTTATTGGACGAGTCATCCAGAATTCTGACTGAATCCCCTCGATGACCTGGGTTCAAATACCACCTTGGCAGTTAGTGGAATTAAAGCTCAGTTAATAAATCTGGAATATAAAGCTAGTTTCAGTAATAATGATCATTATCAACTGTCATTAATTGTTTTTAAAAGAAAAACTGGCTAACTAATGTCCTTTATGGAAGGAAATCTGCTATCCTTACCCAGTTTATCCTTACCTGACACCATGCCCACAGTAATGTATTTGGTGCATAATTGCTCTCAGTTCAGGGGTAGTTAAGCTAGGGCATCAAATATTGGTCTTGCCGGTGAACCTCATATTTACTTTTTCATGAAAGAAAACATTTTTGAGGAGGAACATATGCAATGTTACCATTTAACCCTTTAAACCTGTTCTGCCATTCAGTTAATCATAACATTTGCTCCATTTGTCTGCTTTGATTCTCTATCCCTTAATACCATTGGCTAACAAAATCTGTTAACCAAATTTCAGATTCTGTTGTGAATAGAACAGAATTATTAGGCTATTAACTTGACAGCCTTAATGGTTGAGCATATTTTCTGGATATATTTTAATGTGGCAAAGATGCGTTGTTGAAACTTTCGCAGACTTTCAGGGTTAACCTGATTGCACCAATTAATGACTATTTGTTTTGTTTTAATGATTTATTTATGGCTGTGTTATATTTGTGTGGTTGTAAACTCGCAGGAGCACAGGCAGATACATGGAAATACGAGAGAACCACTCCTGGACAATCTTACATCTGATTTTGACCTGGAATTATTCCGCAAAGCTCAAGCACGAGCCTCTGAGGATCTGGTATGATGCAATACCTGCTGAAGTATGCTTTACACATGGCAGTTGAAGAAGAAAGACTGTAGTTCAATGTGAAAATGCTATTCCACAATATTTGTTCATATTGTAAGAATTTTGTTGTAGAAGTTGTATCTTTGTAGCGTAGCTTTCTGGTGTTTGAATTTTGTTGTTTATTTGCAGCTTAAAATTAGTTATCGATTTTAAATCATGATTAGTGACATAAAGAGTTTCAGATTCTTTGAATCTAAATTTTGATAGCTTTTTGAAGATTAGAGAGCGAAATCACTGACAAACAACAGAATTGTTGCTTATAAGTCAAAGGGAGAAAATAGATAGCAAAACAGCTGACAGTGTCAATATTCTTTAATTTTTTTAATCTTTTCTGTTGGTATGACAAAATGTTTCAGTTGATATGATAAATAACGTTGTTCCTAAGGAAAGTGATTTGCAAAAATGGCTAATGTAAATTGAGAATGGGATTTATTTTAACGTCAACGTTACATCCAGTTACAAAAATGATCTTGCTTGGCAATCAAATGCCTTGTGGTGTCCACGTAGGTTGGGATCTTACAGGAGCATAATGACATGATTCTAGTGAGATTTGAGGCAGAAGTGGATGAGAAGTCTCACAGAGCCTGAATTGGGATCATCTCGTGCCATCTTTTACACTTCTCACAAGCGGTGTGGCAGGTTTCTAGCTAGACAGTGGCAAGTTACCAATTTAGGGGGATTATTGCTTGTTAGTGGCGTTGTTGCTAGCCCTGTCTTACTAAAGTTGCAAAACAAATAGACGTCAAGAAAACCTGGCGTGGAAACCTGGTGGATTCAGCTCCAAATGATCTCCATGTTGGACATCTTGCATCATGCTGTAAGGGCATGGGCAACAGCCATATGCTGCCTATGCGAACACTGGCATCTGATATGTGCCAGCTTCTGTGAATCCTCAAGGCAGATTTCTGATCCAGTTAGAGTGCACTTCCATGTATCAAAGCTGCCCCAGCAACTACCATTGTAATGCTACAACAAGGACACCGATCAGGGACATGGACTAAGCTCATGGACTGGGCCAGGCAGCCCCTCCGAGTTCTTCATTTTCTTTCATAACAGTGACTCGTTGAATACCTGAATGTTCACAGCATCCCTGCCTTGCCTTGCCTTTTTGCACTTTTCCCCCTCAGCCATAGATACTAGGTTCATTTTACATCTGCCTTGCCTTACATTTTAATGTAACATGAAGGATGGAAGCTTGTCATGGTTGTTAGCAGACCAAGGGATATAGCCTTTCCTCAGAAAGCCCCAGCACAGTGAGCCAAGAGCAGCCTCCAGTGCCAGTCCATGAGCTTGGAAACAGTCAGTCAGCCACTCAGTGCAGTCATAGTCAGGACACTGTTCATATAAAGTATGAGGAACTGAACGTAAGGCTTCCCACCACTTGCCTTGGGTCTTTCTGCTTTATGGAGACTGAATTTCTCCTGGAATGAGAGAAAGACAGCTATTAAGGCAGGTGAGAGTGGGTGACACTGCTATTACTTTTGATCTAGGTATGCAAGTGTCCGAAGTGAGTGATTAGCACAGAGGGAATACAGAGTTAGTGAAGTCACGGGTTGGGATGGGTGAGAATAAGTGGGGAAGGTATTGCACACAATAATGAAAGTGGTGGAGCATGAGCCTTGGTGGGAAGTGGGTACAGCCTCAAAAACAGAGTGAGTGTGAGGTACCAGACAGAAGATAGTGGTACTTAAGGGTGGTGTGAAGAGGTCATTGACCGCCTCTGTATAAGTAATGTGAATTTCCCCAGACGACTAAGACTATTTGAATGTGAGTGGCAACCTTAGACTAAGATGATGGGTGTGGTCTCCACAGCTGATCTTGAGGGAAGAGTAAATTCTGACTTTGTACCAACTCGTCCAGCTGGACCTCTAGGTTCCTGCCTGTACAGCCGTGTGCTGATTTCTGGGTCAATTGTCAGGAGCTGTGCAGGGCTGCTTTGGACTGATAGTGCTTGTCTGGGTGCGCAACAGCTGAAAAAGATAGTGGGCCTGCAAGGGATGCCAGTGAATTCTGGAATATCCATTGTGTAGCAAGTTGGTATGGAACTGGCATGGGGTAAAACGGGGCTGGAATCAGATGTGACAGATGCCATAGGGGTGGGGTCAGGAGTTAATGTGGTAATTTTGTTAAGAAGCAGTGAGAAAATCTGCTAGGCCTTGCAGCAAAAACCCCTCCAAAAAGTTTGATGTCAACTCAGCCCAAAGAACATTAGATTTAGTGTGAGATAGCAAGAACTGCAGATGCTGGAGTCGGAGGCAACACAGTTTGGAGCTGGAGGAACACAGTGGGCCAGACAACATCAGAGCTGCCCTGAAACCCTCTGCTGCCTGGCTTGCTGTGTTCTTTCAGCTCCGTACTGTGTTGCCCATAAGATTTAGTGTACTGTTTCCGGATTGAGTTGGACTAGGAAGTAAACTTGCACCTCTGGTGATTTTATCAGTCCTTTCTATTTAAGCAACAGCATCATAGGAAAAACAGGTGTTTCATTCATTTTAATTCTTTAAGTTTTAATTGTGAGTGTTGAAATCCTTTCACTTTGAGGCCTTCATTTAAATCCAGCACGAATGATTGACAGATCCTGTTGATGTTGATAGATTTTATTGTCATGTGTATCGAAATACAGTGAAAAGCTTTGTTTATGAGCAGTACAGGCGGATCATAACAAGCAAAGGATGTACAAGTCAAAAAGACTTTGAGGCTTACAGGTTACATTGTAGGTTATATTATTTGAGGGTGGAGTCCAACAGTCTGATAATGGCCGGAAAGCAGCTGTTCCTGAACCTGCTTTGTGCATGTGTTCAGGTTTCTGTGTCTTCTGCCTGACGGAAGAGGTTGTAGGAGGTCTTTACCAGGGTTCGTTGGGTCTTTGATGTTGGCAGCCTTTCCGCGGCAGCGAACTGTGTAAATAGAGTCCGTGGATGGAAGGTTGGCTTCCTTGATGGTCTGGACTGCGTACACCATCTTTTGTAGTTTCTTATGGTCCTGGGCACAGCAGTTGCCATTCCAGGCTGTCATGTACCCAGGCAGTATGCTTTCAAAGGTGCATCTGTAGAAGTTGGTGAGGGTCCTTATGGACATGCCAAATTTCATGAGCCGCCTGAGGAAGAAGAGATATTGTTGTGCTGCCTTGACTGTTGCATTTAGTCCAGGACAGGTCTTTGGTTATCGTGACTCTGAGGAACTTGATGCTCTCCACCCTCTCAGCCTCAGTTCCGTTGATGTAGATGGGGGCGTGTTCTTTTCCTTTCTTTCTGAAGTCGATGATTAGTTTTTTAGTTTTGCCAATGTTGAGAGAGAGGTTGTTTTCATTGCACGATGTCACCAAGCCCCCTATCTCAGGTCTGTATTTTGATTGTCGGTGTTAGATATCCATCCCAGTACAGTGTTGTTGTCAGCAAACTTGTAGATGGCGTTTGTTCAGAATTTGGCAGCACAGTTGTAGATGTACAGGGAATACAGTAGGGGGCTGAGTACGCATCCTGGGGGGGAGGGCTCCAGTGTTGAGCGTTATTATGGAGGAGGTGCAGTTACCTATCCTCACTGATTGCAGCCTGTCGGTCAGAAAGCTGAGGATCCAGTTGCAGAGGGCAGAGCTGAGACCAAGGTCCATGCAGTTTTGAGATTGGTCTGGAGGGGATAATGGTGTTGAAGTTGGAGCTGTAGTCTGACGTAGGTATCTTTGTTGTCCAGATGTTCCAGGGATGAGTGCAGGGCTAGGGATATGGTATCCTCTGTGGACCTGTTATGTCAGTAGGCAAACTGGTAGGGGATCAAGACAGGTTGGGAGGCTGGAGTTGATGTGGGCCATGACCAGCCTCTCAAAGCACTTCATGATAATTGAAGTACTGTGTTGCCTACAAGAGTATTCTATAAAATGGGTTTAAGCAGTGTAAACCCAGTTCTCGTAACTACAGATGACAGTAATTGGACATTGGTTGACATTACGTTAGTTATATTTAGAATCCAAAAGGAAGTATGGTGGTGAAACTACAAGATAAATAATGCCTTTTATTCATTCTTGTGACATGGGCATTGCTGGTTAGGCAAGCAATTATTGCCCATTCCTAACTGCCTAGAGGGTAGTTAAGAGACAACAACTTTGCCTGGATCTGGAGTCACATGTCAGTCAGATCAGGTAAGGACGGCAGGCAGATATCATAATCACATTTAGGCTAGCTTTTTTAATTCCAGATGAATTCAAACTTCTTCATCTACTGTGATGAAATTTAAAACTATGTCCCGAGAACAAGTAACGTTTGTGGTCTAGTCCAGTGATATTACTACTACACAACTGCCTTCCCATAGTATGAAGTTTAAGACAGACAATGTATAAAAGCTTTCACCCTGTAACTCTTTAGTGCTTGATACTAACACCGGGTGGCAGCACTGGTGAAAAATTAATGAACAAAGTGCAAACTTAAAGACTAATTTTTCTTTGTTTCTAGAATTAAATAATAGCATTTGTTTCAGTTTTCTTTTACTTTAATTGGCTGAATACTTTACTTTTTTTTCTGCTTTCAGACAAGAAATCGAAATTCTGAATGCAGACACACTTCCTTTTAATCTCTGATGTAAATATAGTTTGCAGTTTTTTTTATCAAATCCAAGTAAAATGTGAAACTGATTTGTCAGAGAACTGTGACTACACCTTGGGCAGCACTTGACGATGATGTACAGCTTCAATTTTCTTTCTTCACTTTAGGAGAAGCTAAGGTTACAGGGCCAAATTACAGAAGGCAGCAACATGATTAAGACCATAGTGTTTGGTCGATATGAGCTGGATACCTGGTACCATTCTCCATACCCTGAAGAATATGCTCGTCTTGGGAGGCTATATATGTGCGAATTCTGTCTCAAATACATGAAAAGTCAGACTATCCTTCGCAGGCATATGGTAAGTTGTTTGTCAGCAGAAACAAGTAAAATAATTGAATTGGTTCAGATTTAATTTTGTGATAATTAAATTGCAGTCTGCTTTGTAGCAGATAAGGTGGTGGTTTAAAATTTAGCAGCATGCATGGGAATTATATCTAAATAGAGTGGATTGAAGAATCCATTCAAAAATTACTTGCCCTGTAATAATATAATCAGCTTCTTGTTTTCATAGTTTCTGTGTAAATCAAATTTCATATGCAAGTAAAGATGATGGTTGACTTACAGTTATGTGCTTCTTCTGCCATCCCATGTGTGTACTGGTTAGTTTCTGATTTAAACTGAACAGAATCTCCTAAGGAATGTAATGGTAGCTGTTCAGATTGAGGTGCTGAGTCAAACAGTAGTAAACTACTGACCTGAGACATAGGTTGGGTCTTTCTTTTGGGCTGAAGGCATCAGTCTTGCTACCAGCTACAAGTGTCAATCTGTCTTTCTGTCTGATTGAAATCTGTTGTTTTGTTTCCAGTTCCTCAGTTGCTAATTACTTGTTGCCATCTGTCCAACAGACAGACTGACTTTTTGTGCAACTTCGAGCCATATGAAGAATTTGCATGCTGTTACAACCAGAAAATCTAAATCCGTAACAGAGAAATTGAATTGACAAATTCCATCTCACAAATAAACTTTTCTGATTTTAGTTCTGAAAAGTTCCAGTCTTCAATTGATCCAGAAAACCAAGGAACTGCGGATGCTGGAAATCCGGTGACACTTCTTTAGAACCATTTACTCTGCTTTCTGTCCATAGATGCTGCCTGACTTGCTGGGTTTTCTAGCAATTTCCAATTTTGTTCCTCATTTAATCGTGTTGGATCATACGTTAAACACTATTGGTAATATAGAGTTAATCAGGACAGAAGTGTAATGTTAAAAACCAAAAGAACTGCAAATGCTGTAAATCAGAAACAAAAACAGAAGTTGCTGGAAAAGCTCAGCAGATCTGGCAACTCTAATTTTTTCTTCACAGATGCTGACATTTCGGGTCCAGTGACCCTTTCTCAGAACTGTTCTGGACCCAAAACATTAACTCTGATTTTTTTTCTTCACAGATGCTGCCAGACCTACTGAGCTTTTCCAGCAACTTCTGTTTTTATTCCAGAAGTGTAATGTTGTATCTTGTAAGGTCTTTGCTACCTATGTCAATAATTATGAATGCTTAGAACTGATTTTCAGTTCAGCACAGAAATTAGTTAATTGTCATTTTTTTGGCTTGGCATAAGATTAACTTTGATTTTAAAATCATGAGCAAAACATAGATTGTAGATTTTTAATATATAGAAAAACATTCATTTGGTACTACAAAGTTAGAGTTTCACTGAAAAAAGACAATTTGTTGAAACTTTATCTTGTACTCGACATTTTGCAAGATTACAAATTTCAAGGAAAAAATATTGTAATGGGTAAGAGGAGAGTGCTGATTGGTAGAGGCATTGCCATGGAGAATGCACCATTCTGCTGATATGACCATTAAAGCCAAGCTTTGCTAAATTTTAACCAGGCCTGATTGCTCAGGGCATTACCCTGAGAAATGAACCAGCGAATGGCCGGCACTTATTTTGTTGAGTTGAAACAAATGCAGCGAGTGTGTGTACACATCTTTCCATCTGCAAAAAGCACAGCCCTGTTAAACGTGTACCTTCTACTACATGGAAGTGTACCACACTGAAAGTCCCGCTGACAATCCTAAATTGGTTGTCATCTTATTTCCCCTCACATTCCGAATTATCCACCAAATGTCCAATTGCAAAATCACATCTAATGCAAAAGACTGGCAGTTAGTGTCAAGCAAGACGAGCCTTCAGCTGTTCGCAGCAAACAAGGGAGTGGCGGTTTTCAACCAGCCTGTGCCAATAAAACTCAGAATACAGTGTTTAACATTAAATGTGATTCTAATGTTGGACAAGCATATAGAAAAGTGAAAATTGTTGTTGTCTGGTAAACTGTGATTTAAATTCCGATCTATGATCCAGGTTCCCTCATCTTCTTTTCCTCTGTCAGCCAGAGTCTGAACTGGCACTTTGGAGGTGCTGATGGGTTTTGTTGTCTACAGTTGGCTTCATTGAGGAGGAGGATCTCTAGATATGGAAAATGCTCCAGTTCGCAATACGTGCATTCAGAATACAGCTGCTGCCTTGAATTACTGGACGCTGATGTTGGCTGCTGTCTGGCAAATGCTCTTTTCTCCCCTCTGTTTTGCTAATTGAACCTTAAATAACACGGCCTCAAGTCTTTTAATCACAGCAGTAGTGAGAGAAAGTTTGTGGCCTGATTCAAGGTACTTTGTCTTGCTGCCCTCCTGCAATATTCATTGAAAATGAATGGGTTTTAATGGTATAACTAGAGCACAAATATCAGTTACGGACTCAGGCTGGAAATGTGGAAATTAACCAAGGGACCCTGATGGTGCAATGTCTTTCTGATCAGTTTGGAAACATTTACCAGTGTCTTAGCTTGAGATTTTACTGGTTACAAATGTATTGATGTTCTATGCAATGTATGCATAAGTTTGCAGTTGTTGTAAATTGGTGAAATGGGAGTAGTTACTTAACTGATTTGCTTTATATTATGCAACGTTTTTTATTCATTCATGGGATGTGGGTGTCACTGTTGAGGTCAACAATTATTGCCCAGAGAGCAATTAAGATTGAACCACATTGCTGTGTGTCTCAAGTCACATGTAGATTAGACAAGGTAAGGGCAGCAGATTTCCATCTATAAAGGACATGAGTGAATTGGATGCATTTTTCCAACAATCAACAACAATGTCATAGTCATCATTAGATTCTTAAATTCCAGTTATTTTTTAATTGAATTCAAATTCCACCATCTGCCATATTGGGATTTGACCCTGGGCCCTTAGAACATTACCTGGGTTTCTGGATTACAATTTAATAGTAATAACGCTAGGTTATTGCCTCCCCAATAATTATGTTTGGGACAGTTGTTTACCTTGGCTGATTAATGCTCCACTGTACCAAATTTGAAAGCATGTTTTCAAGCTTGCTGCTTTCCAACTGTTATGCCTCACTGGTATAGGATGCTGGAAATCGAGCCCCATTTTCTGGGAATCATCACAAAGTTAAAGATTTTTAAAAATATGCAGATTCCCCAGTTTACCTATCCTTTAGATCCAGATTGACAGAAAGCACAGACAAGGTTTCTGAACTTTGCAAAAATTGCTGTTTATTATAAGTAATCAGATCCTGGCTATTAGTAAACAGTTATGAACTGTTGCCATATAAGTCCACCAGTTGAATCTCTAAGCCCTTTATAAAGTTGCTCTCACACATGCACACAAAGTCACAGACAAAAAATGAGTAATATGGATGGAAGAAAAACTGGGAAAGCAGTTCAATGGTCTTGGTTCACTGGATCAGCTGACATTTTTCTGTGCTGATTAGAAGGCTGCTTCTTCATCTTTTTCCAGATGTTTCCACTGATGTGCATGAGGAACAGGGTAGCTGATTCACTTATAAAATGTCCCTGACTTACTGATTAAAAGTCACAGTTTACAGCAACTGCTGGAGGAAAAGTAAACTGGTTTTATTTAGGCTAAAGTTGCTTTTTACAGCATAGAACTGTGCATTCCTGAGCCAATGTAGATCTGAAGGCCTCTCCCTATCCTGTTTACAGCCCTAAGCTGTTTAGCTACCTGTGAACCAATCATGTAGTTGGCAGGCAGAAGGCATTCATCATAATTTATCACCAGGCAACAGACCACAGCTACTTGCCAACATAGCTGCATTTGTTGATAGCCATTTGGTTCCAACTCACCTGCAAACTGCATTTCAATTACTGTTAGTACCAGCAGCTGTGTAAACAGTGCTTATAGTGACTATATGGTTATTTGGTTTCAAAATCTGCAGCAACACTCCAGCAATCCTTTGGTCTGAAAACTGTTCTTTTCTAATCATGATATACTGTGAGATATGGGAGCAGAAGTAGGTGGTATACCCAGCGAGTCTTTTGTCATTTCAGTAAGATCTGATAATCCTGATCTCGACTTTCCTGTATTTTCTCTATAACCTTTGATTCCCTAACTAATTAAAATTATATTTATCTCAAACATAATGATCCAGCCTTAGCATCCCTCCTTGATAAAGAATTCCACAGACACACTCTCCCCTGAGAAAAATAAAAAAGACACTATATGTTCGAAAGTATTTCTAAAGAGCGAATCTAATATAATTCTCAAGGCAAAGAATAAAAATGTTATATCTTCTGTTCTTTTATTTCCTCTAGGCAAAATGTGTATGGAAGCATCCCCCAGGAGATGAAATCTATAGAAAAGGAAACATATCAGTATTTGAGGTGGATGGAAAGAAAAATAAGGTATTCTTAAAACAAAACTACTCAGGCACTAAATGTTTTTAATCCAAACAGTTTTTCTGTCCAGTGTAACAAATACTTTACCACCCTTGCTTTTTAAATGCTTAGTTGCTTTACATTGTCTGCATCATGGTTTCCAAAAATGTCTCAAAAGCTGAAATAGATTTTCTCAATGTTTGGAATAACACAATTGCACTATATGTTCACATTTTGCTGAGATTGCAGAGCATAACATTATTTTGGCTAGTAGTGAATGAATAACAGGAATTAGCTGTTGACTATGTGATGTGGAATTAAAGAAAGATTTTGAAGTGTCTTAACTGATTAGAATGAAACTCCATTCTTTTGGAGCTATTGAAATGTTGGGTTACATTCCAGTTATTGAAGGCATTCTATATATTCCGTGTCTACTATTCTCCAGTTTTAAACATAAGCAGCTCAGATAGCATTTTCTCCTCCGGGTCGGACAGTTGTGGCATTCGTCCTTCTGTCAAGGCTTGAGCAGTGTAATGTCAAGGGAACACTGGGTTGTAAAAGATAATGTCCTTCATTTGGATTTTGAGCTAAACCCTCCCCTCTTCCCTTGCCTATTCTGGAGGCTAACTTAAATATTGAAGTATTTTCAAAACACTAATCTTTGCATTTGTTTTTTGTCAATTGTCATCACAAAAAAATTAACTAGTCACATATCTCATTGCAGTTTTTGAACTCCTACTGTGTCACCATGCCGGACACTCTGGCCGGACATTGTATCCATCTAATTCATTGTGTGCAAAGCGTTAAATAATAATTGTGATGGCGGAACTAAATGTTTGATTCTTTTCCCCTTACTTCTTTTCCTTCCTTATCTTGCACTGTGTCCTTTGCTTTCTTCCTTTGGCCATTATGTCTAGCTCTTTCATAGATGCAAACCTCTACGTAATAGGGATGGTCTTTCTTTAATCTAAAATTGTCTTCTGAAGACCGAGTTTAAACAAAAACACATCATAACAAGCATTACTCTTAGCTGAAACTTATTTCTTTAATAGTTCTATTCTTTCTCACATTCCTAGTTGTACTGTTTCTCAATATCCATTAAAAAAGGAAATCGATTTGTTGGCTTGACTGTCAACTGCAGTGGGATACAAATAATGTATCACTCTAAATGTTCTCAAAACTCATTTGAAATAAAGGTAGAAATTCCAGTTTGCATCCTTGTGTAATACTCAGAAATAGAATTCAACTCTCTTAATTTACTTGCCTTCCCCAGGTTTTAGTACTTTTGAATTTTTACCCTAGCCCTTCATTGTATCAAACCAGAAATTAAGTAGTTAACTGGTTGCCCTGATATTCAAAATTGCAGCGTAGAGTTTCTTGCCATTGAATTCCTTCGTTCAAGATTTTGCCAGGACTGTTCCTTTTGATCTTGAACTGGTTCAG